ATGGAAGCTGAATGCATGACTTGGCTATACTATGGCAGTTCGCAATGGCTTTCACATGGCAGTGTCCTGTCTCATGCGTTTAAACTGCATCAAGAAATTAACAGTTTTCTGCAAGAGGAAGGTCATGCAATCAATACATATTTTGCCGAACTAAACTTTTTATTGACACTAGCATATTAGGGTGGCATTTTTGACAAACTGTCTGAATCTGTCTTGAATCTGATTTTACAGGGAAATCAATCCACATCTTAAAACTTGTAGAAAAGATTTCAGTGTTTAGGAAAAAGTTGCAGTTGTGTATTTAAAATTTAAAAAAAAAAAAAAAATTTGAATGGCAATGGTGCTGAAGATTGTTTTTCTACACTGCACCCATACACAACTTGTAATAAAGTTGTTAGTCTATAGGGCTGTCCCTTTTCATGGAACACCTTTCAAAACTCATGGGCTGGTTCGCAAAATACTTTACTAAAGAGAATAATGTAGCAAAAATTGCTCTTTTCGACCGAGCTCTTCATAGTTTAGCAGAGAAGACGCAGGACTCGAAACCCGAAGGCTCCGGGTTCGAAAACCTTCAACGGCAAGGTGCCTGATAATTGCTCTTTATGTAAATGTCCTTCTTGTTAATGTTATCTTATTTATGTAAATTTCCTTCTTATTCTTCCAGAACATTCCAAGTTTGGAATGTTTCAGCATGTCCACCAGCTGTATATAAGTAGCTCTTAATTCAGTTCAAGTAAATTAAAAAGTCTTGAGTTTAGACTTGAGTACTTGCCTGTTCATTTGTAGGATCCCCTCATCTACACAACAGTTTGGTGGAGACGCCTCGGCACCGGGTATTTCTCAGTTACTATGGCAGAGTTATGCCAAAGTCTGCGGATTCAAGGACTTCCTCTTGAGTTCTGACTTTTACAGGATTCGCGTAAAAGATCAAGAAAGATGGTTGATGAGAAAGAAACCGAGCAGAATCCTCCAGCAGCAGCTAGTTACACTTTGAGGAATATCGTACCAATACCGATCCTGATGTATCAACTACCCAGAAGCCCGTGTATCTTCACCGGGGACAGCCAAGAAGATACTAATAGATGGCTCAAGGAATTTGATCGAATCGCCAACTATAACCACTGGGATGAACAAATGTGTCTGGCGAAACGTCATTTTCTATTCCTTGGCGCAACCGCTCGACAGTGGTTCGATAATAATGAACACACATTTACCAGTTTGACTGTTTTCAGGACTGCTCTTAAGAACACCTTTTCCCGAGCAGCTGATGTAAAGCACCAAGCTGAACGAGTACTACTCACACGGACCCAGCAAATCGATGAGACATCTGAAGCTTACATTCAAGATGTTCTTGCTCTCTGCCAAAAAGCAAACCCATCCATATCTGAAGACGAGAAAGTGGCCCATCTCATGAAAGGTATTGCTGAAGATTTGTACCAGGTCTATGACAGCATCGATGCCTTTGTGAAACACTGCCATCACATAGAAAGCCTTCGACAAAGACGTATCCCCCGATCACAATTCCAGAGGCTGCCTAACGTCTCCGTGGTATCAGCCGATGCGGACGCCAGTTAAGTAAGGTCTATAGTGCGCACCATCATCAGGGAAGTGCATAAGAAGGTCCTGCCGCAAGTTCAGGGCTATATAGAAATAGAACCCGTAGCACCGAATGACATAGCATCTGTGGTCCGGGAAGATGTTATGGAGCTGCTGGCACCACTCACAGGAGCAGGGAAAAGCAAAAACACTACCCAACGTTCACTTCCAGTTAGGTCGCAGCCAAGACGTAAAGACAGCCAGAGAACTGCTCCACAGTGTAGGACAGATCTGTGGAAGACTGACGATAATGTGCCTCTCTGTTTTCATTGCGGATGCCCAGGACATGTTCTGAGGTACTGTATTGAAAGAATCCAGATGTTTGAAAATGCAAGAGCCGCAAGGACGTTCAACCCTCGACGGAACAGGGATACTGAAGCTACATACAGCTTCGATGACGAATATGCACGATCTAGTTCTTCCCGAATAAGGAGCAGTTCACCATTACCGCGACGCTCTCTCAACCGCCGCCAGTCGTAGTAACCAGTATGCCATGCTAGCCATTCCCCACGCCGAACAAATGAGAAAACTAGCTCAAGTAACCTGTACAGGAGATGAGGCTGCAGTTGAAAAAGAATAACACTTTTTTCACCGTGAACGGACAGTATGTAAGAAAATAAAAAGTCTTGCCTATTCATTTGTAAGATCCCCTCATCTACGCGACAATATAGACAAATTTTATGTTGAACCAAGATCCTTCTCATTTGCGAGACGAAAAGTGTTTAATTAGACTCTCTTGCAACAACACCCTGAAAACAAAATTTGCTTGTTCAGATTTAATGGAGTTCTGCATTTCAGTTTAACTGAGTATTTAACTTTAAGTTATAAACTTAAGGATCCTCATTTCCTGTGTGACATCTTTCCTGTATAAAGCTTGGTTTTCAACTGTCATGCTAATAAAGACCAAAATATCCTTTGAAAAATCAGTGTGGCGCAAAAAATGAGAATTAGGTGTATCAAGCCATTTTCCGGGATTTGAAAATCTATATGGTGATCAACCAGCTCACCTTGTGACAATGAGTTTCTAATTTTTTACTGAAGGTTTCTTTTGTTTATATTTGATTTGTATGTTTTCTTATTAATTAAAAATTATTATACCTGGTGTATGCAGTAGATATATGCTTTACATGATTGCTCTGAATTTGTATTTAAATGTTTTATTTAATTGAAGATTTTTTACTCATCTATATTTAGATTCTTTCTAATTTTTATGTTATTTCTTCATGTTTTATGCTATTATGTGTATGAGTGATAATATAAAGACTGTTCCTGAAATGCAAGTAATTTTATGGGATGATGGATATTTTATGTTTACTAAATTGATTACTTTGTGTATAAAAATGGAATAGTTCACAATGTAGCTCACAATTCTTTCACATCAAATGCTATCAATAAAACTAAATTTCCTTTTATCTAGCATATGCATTAGTATGAACTTAATATTGGAAAGCTGGTGAATAATACATTTTTTCCTCCTATAACAATGGGAATTGTTCATTTCATATAAGACTATTTTTAAAAAATCATATATTTTAAAAATATTCGTTAATGTATAATTATATTCATGTGTATATAAAATACAGAGTTCTCAGCTCATCATTCTATACATAAGAAGGAAATTCTTTTTGTTTTAGGTGTATTTTTTAATAATGTATACATTAATTATTGAATATTATTTTGAACTGCATAAAGGGAGATTTAATTTCCTTAAGTAGTTGAAGTTTCAAAACAAATTATTTTTATATAAAAAATTTAAATAAATAGTTTAATACCTGAAACATGAATAGACATTTTTCTCTGCCGTTAAATTTGCAGATTAAAATATAGCACTGAATTGACTTGAATAGAAGATGATGTTTTGTGTATTAAATGACCTTATAATTAAATCTGTGTTATATGATCAGTATAACATTTAAAAATTTATTAAAACAATTTATAAGCTGAATTATGTTGACCTTATTTTACCTCAAGATATAATGTTTAGTGTGATGACAATTTAACTACCTTCCGTTTTGAATATCTTCAGTATTGTCATATTTATATCTATACACTTTTTTTTTTTTTACTGCAAAGTGCACTTTTTTTAACTTTTAAATTGCAAGGTCATCATATATCCTCTTGAATTTGTGAAAATATATTTATCAGTGATTTTTCTCTGATTATGGAAAGTTATTTATCAATAATTATTCTATTCTAGTATTTTATATGTAGGTTCTGCCATTAAAAAATATATACAGGGTGCTCATAAAAAAACTTCCCAGATATATGAACCCCTAGCGGCTTATCTGCTCAAGCAATCAAAATGAAATTTCGGACACTGTTATTTGAAGATGGGCTCAAGATATTCATGATTGAAAACAATAGAGCTCTCAAGATTACGTTTGCAGTGAAAAGATTACAAAGATTTCAAATAGCAATACCCACGTTGTCCCTGCACAAATTGATCAGCGCATTAAAAAGCAATAAATGGTGTTGGAAAGGAAACACGTGTGGCAAAAATTGCCACCGTAAAACACTTGCAAAGAAGAGCATTGTAAAGGACCAATGACAGCACAAGAGAGGAGAGGGAAAAGAACTTTTATTGGAATTACAAGTTTTCAAAGTATCCACCTTTGCAGATGATAATGGACTGCATTCGGGAGATTATTGACAACAATGACGAATGTAACATCGCAGGAAGAATCTGTATAACTTCGCGTTTTATGGCATCTTTCAAGTCTGACAGATCTTGTGGATTTGATATGTACACTACTGACTTCAAATACCTCCAGAACCAGACGGGTGAGGTTGGAGGATCGTGGTGGCCACAAACTGCAAGGTTACAGGTGATAACTCTATCTTGAAAGACTGTACACATTGAAAACTTGTAATTCCAATAAAAGTTTGTTTCTTTCTCCTCTCTTGTGTTGTCACTGCTTCTTTAGAATGCTCTTTTTGCAAGAGTTTTAAGCCATCAGTTTTCGTCATACGTATATCGTTCCAATGCATATGGTTTTTCAGTGCGCTGATCAGTTTGCACAGAAAAAAACTGGGTGTTGCTGTTCGAAAATTTAGAAATTTTTTCACTGTAACCATCATTGGGAGAGCTCTATTTTGTTAAATCAAGATAGTCTCGAGTGCATACCTTCAAATAATAATTAATACCTGAAATTTCATTTCGAGTGGTTGAGCAGACAGGCCGCTAGGAGTTCATATATCGGAGAAGTTATTTTATGACCACCTTTGTATTTTACTGATGGATATTTGATTTTTTAAAGTTTTATATTTATGATTTTTATTTTATGGAAAATCAGAAGTAAAAAATCTTTATTTTTATGTATCAAGAATTTGTAATAATAAAGCACATGTAATTTTTAGATTTGATTTATCTTTCATTTATAACTTACAAATTAAATTTTTTTTAGATCCAGTTTTAGTCACACTTGCTCAAGAAATCTTCAAAGAGTTATCCCGAAATCCTGGTTCAATGAGTGCTGTACAGCAGCGATTAATTCCTACCTTAGTTTCTATATTACAAGCTCAGCCAATGAAAGTGCCTCTTGGTCTACAAGCAGTAGGTTTCTCCTGTTTTTTATTTATATTTTGAGTTGTATTTATTGAAGTTATTTTATCATAAGTTCAATGGATAAATTCTTAAATAAGCAATTACTGTTTTAGGTCTCTCTTGATGTTCTGCAAACAATAGTTCGCAGCAGCTCTCGACCTCTTCCTGACTCTATTATTTCTCAGGCATTTCCTGCTGCTATACACTGTATAATACATACTGATGATAACTCTATACTTCAAGTAAGTTAGCAAACTCAAAAGTTTTCTTGAAGTGTGTTTACATCATCTGTCTTGCAAAGGCCATTGAACACTTGACTTATGTTCAGAACTGAATAGGCAAGCTGCATTAGATTTTCATGGTTTCTATCATGTATGACATGATTATGAGCCAGTTTTCCTTTTCATGAAAGCATCTTTCATAATGCATGTGCTTTGCCATAATAAATAACTTAACCTCTCCTCATGAAAAAAGTTAGAATTCTTATTTTGTAAACAGTTGATTGTGTGAAAAGATTTTGTTTCCTGAAACTGCACCTAATTTTAGCAAGTAATAAAAAATGACTAGTCCAGTATTAAGACTTGATAAAATTATTAATAACGAACTATTTCTTCATCATCTTCTTATCTTGATATTTAATAAGATAATATAGAATGGATATAATGTAAATTATCACATCTACCATAAGATACAATATTAGATAATAAGGTACAAGATGATTTAATTTTTTTCTTTAGCAAAACATAGAGGTTCTTTAATCACTTGCTAAACTTCACGGTTGCAGTGTAGTGCGCTACAATATAACAAGCAGTAAAGTGTATGATTTACGCCGCTTCGCGTCTGCGAGTGCAATCCAGAGCTGTAACTCGAGAAATAAACAATATCGTTGTTAGGTGACGTGTGTACCACATTATTTTCATTTTTGCGATAAATGCCTATCGACATGGTGTTCACGTCGTTCGCGGTTTGAGACAAAAGCATTTTGACGTGCGTGGCATGTCTTCTTAGCGCAAGTGGTTAAGACATGTCTTTTTGCATGGAGCTTGAAGCTTCAAATTGCCATATTAGCATTAATAACTAAAATTAATGGCAACTTAAATCAAAATATTTCCTCTTCCCCAAATGAATTTAGTGTGGGCATATACATATATATATATATTATATTTTTAATCAATTAAAAACTCATGTTTGTTTTCTAAATGCTTCAATTTTTATACAGAGAAGTGTTTTTTAATTTACATAGAAAACGGTAATTTTCATTTTGAATATTTCTTTTACAAATTGCCACTTAGTGGTGAAAATCTGGGTTTTCCTTGTGATCTAAATATTCCAGTATTCCAAATATCATTGCATTCGTAAGAGTGGGCTGTGAAGTGCTCTGAGGGAAACTTTATTAATTTTAAGTTAAATGTGTACAGATTTTTTAAAACTGATTCCTGGGCAGAATGATAAGAAAGGGATCAAACATTAATTTCAAAATATAAGGTTTTTTTTTTTTTTTTTTTTTTTTTTTTTTTTTTTTTTGTTTTTTTTTTTGTTGTTGTTGTTGTTCCATGGGGTTTGTTTTTTGTTGTTGGGGGGAGACCACTATAACTAACCAAAAAAAAAAGCAAAAACAGCTATAAATTTTTTAGGTTTTCGGCATCGAACTTTGACTTGGGGAGGCCTTTAATCATAATATTATATCAACATTTTTGTTTTAGAATATTTCGGAAGGGAAATTATGCAGAAAGAGTTGGTGCTGGAGCTCCAGTGTATCTTGCTGCAGTTTTAGAATATTTGGCAGCTGAGGTTCTTGAGTTGGCCGGTAATGCTGCTAGAGATAACAAGAAGACCAGAATAATTCCAAGACATCTGCAGCTGGCCATCAGAAACGACGAGGAGTTGAATAAATTACTCTCTGGCGTCACAATTGCACAAGGTGGAGTTCTACCCAATATCCAGGCTGTTCTACTTCCCAAAAAAACCGAAAAGAAAGCATAATTCCTACTTCCCCTAACGCTTCAAAAAAAAAAAGGCCCTTTTAAGGGCCAGAAAATGTACGAAGAAGAGAATGCTTAATTGCTTATACTGAAAATTGCAGCATACGTTGGTAAATCTTTTCCATATATATATTTCATTCAAAATTCGCACAAAGATGTGCCCCATTTTTTATTTTGTTAAAAAAAAGCAAGGTTGCTTTTCTGGGGGGTAAGAAAAAAACTATTGACCGTTTTATTTCAGAATAAGAATGTTTACGAGCATTTGTATCAGTTGCATTAGAGCAGATCTCACTGTGGAGAGATGAATCCGGAAGAAATGGGCTTGATCATATCATAAATGTGGGTAGTATTTTAGGTATCCTTTTTGTTTTGTTTTTAGAATAGATGTGAGAAATATTTTGCTGCTTAAGCTATAGCTTCTAATATCAGTGCACAATTTTTTACTTTGACTATAAAATACATATCTTCACATACAGATATACTGAGTTTTCAGTTTACACCAGTTTGCTTTTGTAAAAGATCTAAATAATTACTTTTTTCAGTTAACAAGGAAATCCGAAGCCATTTTTATATATATAAAGAAAGATGAAATACGAAAGTACTAAACTCTTTCTTCTGCTTCTAAATCATGCCTTGCTTGGAGCCATAGACTTTCTCTGCATTGTCAAATCACTAAGAATTTCTCAATTTTGCCTGCAATAAAACCCCAAAAATAGTTTGGTGGTCTATTTTTGAAGTCATTTTGTTCCTGAAAGGTGAAAAATGTTTTTCAATGACAGTAATTTACTTGGTGATGTGCAGAGGAGCAGGCAAGTCTCATCATCACTCACAGTCTGTAATCTTCAGTCATGAAAATTAATCCTGTAATACACAGTCCAATAAAGTTCTATCAATTGCATGACTCATTTCACTTTAAAAGTTATTAAAATTATTTGAACTGTAGATATTGTTGAACTATCTAAAATGATTTAATTCAAACTTTCTCTTTTTGAGTAATTTTTGCAACATACTTCTGCATGATGAGCCCTGACAAGTGAAAATGGTATTATGCTGATTTATAGTTTTTCCAAGGTTTCTTATAATTTTTTCTTAATAGAGGTCTTAGAGTTTGTGTCATTCTTCAGAATCTCACATACTTGTGTTTTTCCAATATTTAGCAACTTCATGATCTGCTTAATTGATTATTTATCATACTGATGTGGATTATTTATTTTAATAATAATTCCAAATACGTTGTTGTTTTTGAAACCCACATTGATAATACTGAATTACTGTACTTCCTTTATTTAAAACTTGCATTGAATTGTATTATGGTTAGTGGAGGCTGGGCATCTGTGAGTGTGATGTACTGTGGCATGAGATAGCTCAACAAACTTTTAAGTTTTGCTGAGTTAAAAGTTCTCTTGTGAGACTTGTGCTAAAGAAAGAGATGGAATCTTAAAAATCCATTCCCTAGGGATCTTTTGGTCAAAACTGAGATGATTGCTTAGTCAGATAACCCTTCTGGGCTTTAAATAAGTTAAATAATCTGATTTAGTCATTTAAAAATTTAGAGTTTTTAATTATGCCATAAAATTTCCAAAAGATTGTGTTGATTTAATATTGTCAAAACTCTAAGATGATAAATTACATATGTATTAGTAGTACCTGAAAAAATGAATTCCAGTTAACTTATTCTTGTTGATCATTTTAATATTATTGTATTAATTCATTTTAAATGCATTATTAATTATCAATCTACTTGCACTGGGAAAAGTATTTGAATTTTTAAAAATATTTATATTGCTTCATTATTCTCATATTCCAGTATGTTTCTCTCATAAACAAGAATGTATTGGAAAAAGTTTTTAATTGAAGCTTAATTTTTGCACTTTCTTTACAGGTAGCACAACGTTTACTAGATCCTAAAACTCCTGAAGGTGCATCTGCATTTGTTGGGCGACTTATTTCACTTTTGATAACTAAAGCAAGTGTAGTCATAGGTGATAAAAGTGAACTGCTTTTACGTGCTGTTCTTAGTAAAATGCAGCAAGTTGAAGCTCTCAGTGTAAACCAGGTATAATTGTACATTCTAGTATCTATAATTTTTGAAGTGAACCAAATATAAAATATCCTTCCTTTACAAGAATCTGTATTGAATAGTTCCATAACTTAAAATTCGTTATGAGTCAAAATGGCAATATTTAAATTGCAAATATGAATTTTATTTTAAAAGATATTATGTAACAGTCATAAAAATTAATTTCCTTTTTTGGGGGATCAAGGTAACCTTATCATAAGGTAAATATTTTCATTGTGAAAAAAATTATTTAATGGTTTTAGCATTAGGTTTCCAGATTCATTATATTTGCTTGTAATTTTTAACTTAGATATAACACATTTTTAAATAATTGCTTCTGTAAAATGTTTCATATCATTAAAAATATTTAGCTTATTTTCAGAATGTAGTGCCTTTAAGAGGGCATAGGTCCAGTGTGGCTCCTTACATGTAAATTGTCCATTAGTGCTGCTTGTCTGGCATTATTTTCATCAAGCACTAAAATGTGAAATTCATTTTACATCAATTTTCAAATTATTAAAAAATTCAGTACTATTTGCTAAATCATTTACTCTTTTAGCAGTTGTTGAGTATAAGATTCATCTTCTCTTATATATATTTTTTAATATATGTATAATTTTTTTAAACATGTGTAATTCTGAAGCAGACTTATAAATTCAGTATCTGATTGTGGAGCAACCTATGTTGCCTGTTTGTTCAACTGCCAAACAGTTAATGTTGTTGGTATCCAGCATAGTCATAAAAATCTGGCTTGGTAGTCATAAAAATTCAGCTTACAATATTTATTATAGGAAGATTGTTACCTAACATTTTGTCTTTTGGAGAAAAAATTTAATCAGTTCTATCCTGGCATATGAGACAGTCATGTATGCTGGCATCTTGTATTATCGCTTGATAACTATATTCCTTTCAAACTCACTGGTGTCTTGGTTAATCAAATTCAGTATCCTCTTGTTATATTCAGTGGCCAAAATTCATTGTTCCAAGCTGCTCTGCATTTGGAACTGACTTTTCATTCGAGATTATGCATTTGGTCTGATGTTTTTTAACAAGAAAGCTGTGGTGGATATATGATATGAAACTGTGATACTAAACGTCTTATTCAAAAACTGAAAGCATCATTTTGGCATAAAATTCTGCAAGAAAGAGGAGGTCTCGTTAGAGAAAACATTCTGGTGTCTATGAAGTCCTTAAATTCTTTTTCTCAAGTTTAATGATTTTATCTTCTATTAAATTTCATCTATTAATTACACTAAAGTTTAAATGATTTTTTGCATTTTTAAGAACAACTGTTAAATTTTCAATAATTTGGTCAAATTATCAAATTTTTTATTGCAGCCCTTCTTGTAATAGTAAAAGGAGTCACCCTTTGTTAACTACCTATTACTTTTCTTACTTGTGAAAATTTAATTTTTCTACAACTTTTAATTTTAAACCATGCAATTTTTTAAAATTTTGCAGAGTAGTTAGCAGGTTGGACTTACGACCTAAGACTATATATTGGACAGTTTTGGTTTTCATGTACATTCATGTATGTACATGCATTAAACTTATATTCAATGGGACTTAGATCAAAGAAATGAGAATAACAGTCTATGTGAAAAATGGCCTCACTTTCTAGCAGCATATTGCTACATCATGTACTTTCCTTCAGATCTCTTAAATAATCAGCCAAATAATGAAATTTCAGCTTGAAGAAATAACAATTTTCTGCAGGTAAAGAAAATTAAAGTATAATTCTAAGAGAATGGAAATAATATTAAAATTCTTGGCAACACAGATGAATATCTCGCAGTACAAAATCATTTACAAAGAAAAAGCTAAAAATCATTTGAGTCCTTATGAATAATATGAATCTTAAGTTGATTATTTGTCAACTAATTTAATCCTCACGGTTATTCTCATTATACCTCAGCTAAAAGATAGAATAGCACTTCCAAAGCATCCAAGATATATTCCTTATTCTAATGTATATTTACTCAGACTTGCAACAAAATATTGAAACAGAAGAGAATAAAGCTAATTAGCTGCTATGCAGGTAGTCCGTCTTAACAGCTGTCTGATTATAGTAAAGCCACAGCATTTTATTTATTCGTCTCCTTTACTGCCGATTGACAGTGACTTTCACTTCACTCTTTCACCTTTAAAAATATAAAATAACACCTGGTAACTTTCAACAATCTTTTGAGCTTTGTAACTGTTGCTCGAAAATGTCTATACCAGTAAGGCTGGGAGAAGAAGTCAAACTAATTAGCCAGATTATTACTCATACTATATCCATTCTTCAACATGACAATTATTGCTCAAGTTAATCTAAATATTTTTTAGTGGTCATTTTGCTGTCTGCAGTTTGGGATCCCAGGGGATTTCGGGGTTCTCCCAGACCACTGGCTGGAATGTGTCCTGCCAGCTTTGATTTCTTGGGTATATAATCAGACTTCACAGGACTAGAACCATAGGTCCATCCTATGGTAGGCGCGGGCTTGGCAAGGACCGTACTGGTACTGTCGTGTCCATTGCCTTTGCTGTGGGAACGCTCTCATGTAGATTTTAAGCACTGTGCCGGGGGGACGGCTCCCCGTGCAGCCCTCAGTGTGATGGATTGTGGCGATGAACATGAGAAGTCCCTGCGGGCTGTTCGGTGGGTTTGCACCCTGCCGGCACCGTCAACTAAGGAAGGCCTCTGTATCATGTTAAGGCATTCTAGAAGCAGCCAGGTAATGTTGCCCGAATTGAAGTTAATGTCTGCAGTTTGGGATTAAACTCATTGATTGTCTTAAACGATCATTTTATTGGTAAACATTTTGTAGAGAACTTCTACATTATGGTAGATTTTGTCACTTCTACTCTATGGTATCATCTCTGATGTCACAATAAAAAATGTGAAATAACATCAGTTTTTTATTGCAGATATATGACTATGCATGCACTTTTCATCGTAATTTAATTTAATAGCACATGAAAATTGAAGCTTGGCATCTGTTAGTGAGATTATAATCTTTAAAAATAGTGCTTGCTTCTTCAAATTTTGATTATGTAACTCCTGTAAATAAAATGTAACAATGCATTCCGTAATTTATATCTGTGCTTATTAAAATTCTATCAAAATAATGAAACTCCTGTTCCATATTTACAAAATTATATATTGGCATAAACCACAGTATAAAACATCCTGCAAAAAAGTTAAATTTATATAAATGAAATATTTTTAATTTTTCTGCACTATCTTATTAAATATAATAATTGATAATTCGGGCTAATATGCATTTTACATAATTTTATTAATTAGCAGCATGAAAACAATAAAATATCCGGCATTAGTAACTTGGAGTCACTTTAATTGCTTAAATCTAAATTTATATTTACTAGCAGATGAAAAAGCTCTTGCAGTTAAACCTTTTGTAAAAATACATATAAACAATCAGATTAAATATAAAATGAAAGATACAAGTGCCATTTATGGCACTTTGTATCTGCAATCTGCATAACTATTTTGACATATATTTTATTGTAATACATTTGCATTACTTAACATTTGCTGCTTTTTTAAACTTTAATAATTGATTTTCCAATTTATTGTATGTAATTCCAAAAATAGAAAGCATTCTTCATCCCCTGCTGATGAAACTCATGCTGTGTTTAATATTTCAATAAAACCTAGTTCTTTTTTCCATATGTGTTACAAAAGCTATTGATTTCTGTCACTTAAGTGTGGCCACTGACTCAGCTGCCTCAATTTCAAAAGGGTTCTGTAGAAATTTAAAATATGAATTGTAAATTGACATAAAATATATGTGTTTTGGTGATAAAATATATGTTAAAAATTGTGTTGATTCCTATAATATTTTAAGTAATTTTAAGAATGCTTTATCAAAATTTTTTAAACTGTCTTCAAATCCTTTCCTGGTTTTAACAGCTTTAGTAATGCTTCAGTAATCCTTTTTGAATTTTATCCAAAACAACTGAAACTGTCATCAAACAAACATATTGCTAACGTGTTGTTTGACTGACATATTAAAAACTTCATACTGACTGTTCTTGTTTATTACTTTATTACATCCTGATTCGCTTTCACAATATGCATGAAAATTAGCCATTTTATAGTTTTCGAGGGAATCACATACTTCAGATGGTATATTTAAATCCGTTTGTATTTATTAAATTTGACTGGAGCAATCTGGGGATTTCAAAAATAATTTGTCTTGAATAACATGCTCAGTAACATTTGATATGTTTAAAATTTTGTCAATAAATTAAGTATATGTGTTGAATAATCATAAAATCTAAGCTGAAAATTATTTTCAAAGTCCTTTCTCCTTTTTATCATATTTGCTGCATTATTGGTACAGAATTATAAATTTTATATTTAAATTTGTTTTCAGCTTTTGTTAATGGCATCAACAGCAAGGATAAGGAAATTTTCTCATTAGTTTCATTAGTTTCCGTTACTGTACAATTCCATCTGTTATAAAACTACTTACACAAATATATGGTTTATTGTGGATATTAAATCGATGGTCTAGCATCATAGATGCTGTTTGATTAACTAAAACATTATTTTATTTCTCTATTTTGATCATTTAATAATTTACCAATTCAAATGGAGGCAATATATCCAAATAATTTTATGAGGGTTTTCTACATTGCAAAATGTTGTATTTGCAGCATAAAAAAATATTTATCTATTGATGATCAGTTTTAAAATTTTTCAAAGATGGTATTATATAATATATTTACTTGGATCATGCCCCATGCACTAATCATTAGGCTTATACTTGAGACTAGATGGACATAAAAGTTTGCATTGCAGGAAGATTCTTTTTTGCAGTGTGCTAACATCTGTTTAAAATATTTTTAATTATTTTATTTCTGTAAAAAGATATATTCAATAATATTTATATTCAATATTAAATTTCAATAATTAAAATCTATAATTTATTATTCAATAATTAAAATCTCTAAAAAGAAATGTTAGATTATCTTAACCTTTGATTTTT